TTTACAAAATTGTTCCTTTTTTCTTTTTTCCCTGCAGATGACTGCCAAATGGAAAACCCTCTAATTTCCCAAACTGCAGGCTCTTTCTTTCCTTTTTAAATATATATTTCATATTTAATTTCTTCTGCACAACTGCAGAAAGAGGCTCTTGCAATGCTCAGTAAAGGATTTTGAGCCAAGGGCAAGGAGTTGCCCATCCAGCTCCCTGCCATTCGTACCCAGGAGATGTTCCTTTGGCACCAACACCTGGTCCACGCAAACACTGCAAGCACAGCATCAGCTGAGCACCCGTTCCCCCTCCATGGTCTGGATGCTCCAGCAGATAACAGCAGCTGTTCAGGAGTAAGAGTGTAGCCATATGTTGCTGTTAACAAGCACTTACTGAAGCTGGTTTCTATCTGTGATTCCCATGTGTCTGATTAGTGCATAGCTCCTTGGAGCAATTTTGAGATTTTTCACCCTCCCCTTGCAAATCAATCTCTTTTTTTGTTGTTGTTTTGGCATTATAAGCAAACCAGACTATGAGCATAAAATGGGGTTAAAAGCCCCAAGATTTTTAAAAAAAATTTAAAAATCTATTAAAATAGCTGAAAAGTCATTCAGTTCATTTTCATTTTGCATTTTTTTGTGTGTTCAGAAACACTCTGTTTATATGCTGACCCTGCCATGGTCTTTCCTGGAGGCTCCAAGCAGAGATGAGATACTCAGTGTTCAGTCACCTACCCTGGGAGGGGGATTGATATTTCCATCGTCTCAAGACATCTTTTGACTCTGCCCACAGATCTGGACCCCTGCCGAAGCACTTGAAGTTATGGACTCCTTTTCAGGAGTATGAAGGAAAATAACTTGGTGGCTGTCAGAACTTGGATGTTTCATTGAGATTGTAGCAGGGGGTATGACTCATGGGCCTGAATCCTGGCTTCCCAAGCTTGGGAGGATGGACTTTGACCCTTACTTCCCACAGTATTCCCAGTGTTGGAATTCCAGACTGGGAAGAAGACAAGTTGACTGAGCTGGGAATGGTCCCTGTGCCGTTGCTAGCACCCCATCCTCTTGGGAAAGATTTTTCCAGGGACTGCCCCATCAGCTGAGCAGAGAGGAGGGAGTGGTGGTGATGGGAACATCCCTCCCGTGGTTAACCTTATGTCACTGAGATATGGGAAAGGAAAGCACATGGGTAGGTAGCAGAGACAACTGCCATCAAAGGTGACTCATTCCACCCTTGGGAGGTCCAGCATAGGTGCAGTGAAACACCCTCTATCAATACCTTCCTCTCTCCAGAGCCAGGATAGCTTCAGATAAAGGCTGGAAAAAAGGCTGGACACCCAAAATTGAAGTATCAACGTGTAGGTGTCTCAGTATGTACCGGGTGTCTGTTACTTCACTTCCAGATGGATGAATGATGTGGGATGAGTGCCACCATTCCCACCTGGAATATATTTTCCAGACTTTTGCACCTCTTTCAAAAATAACATGAAAATTCTGCAACTCCTGAGCAGCCACATTCTGCAAAGAATGTGTTCACAGAATTATTGAATGGTTTGGTTAGAAGAAACCTTTAAAGTTCACCTAGTTCCAAATCCCTTGCCATGGGCAGGGACACCTTCCACCAGACCAGGTTGCTCAAAGTTTCATCCAACCTGGCCTTGAACACTTCCAGGGATGGGGTATCCAACACCTTGCTAGGCATCTTGTTCCAGTGTTTTGCCACACTCAAATGTAAAAATGTCTTCCTTACATCTAGTCTGAATCTTCTTTTAGCTTGAAATCATCATCCCTTGTTTTATCGCAATATGCCCTGCTAAGAGGTTTTTTCCCATCTTTCTTCTAAGCCCCCTTTGGGCACTGGAAGGGCCTCCAGAGCTGGAGGCAGCATTGCAGGTGAGGTCCCAAAAGAGCAGAGCAGTGTGGACAGAATCCCCATGTCACACTTCTGCCCACACTGCTGGAGACACAGCCCAGTGCTCATTACTCCCTGCTGCAGCTAGGCTGTAGGAGCCATGGTGAGACAAACAATGAGCTGGGACAGAACCCTGCATCCTTCCAGCCCAAGATTTGTGCTCATTACACCTGTCCTGGTTGGGAACGAGTTGCA